GATAGATAGTAAAGACAGCTCGGCAGTTCTCACCCACACATTGGGTGTCGAGATCCCGGAGATCCAACCAGCCAGGCACAGGCGGCTATAAAGTCCAAGCTGACTTCGGACTCGGACGCGCCCAGATCTAAGATAGGGGCGATGGCGCCTCGGGGGTGTAGGTGTAGGGGCTCACAGAGAGCCACACACCCCCCTCCCCCGTCCCCCAGGCTCGCACTCGCTGAGGAATTTCTACACCATGGTGTCCGGGCCGGGGGAGCCCCGGTTCATTGTCGTCGGTTACGTGGACGACACCCAGTTCGTGCGCTTCGACAGCGACGCGGAGACCCCCAGGTACGAGCCGCGGGTGCCGTGGCTGCAGAAGGAGTGGCCGGAGTATTGGGAGAGGAACACGCGGAAAGCCAAGGACAGCGAGCAGATCTTCCGAGCGAGCCTCAGGACCCTGCTCGGCTACTACAACCAGAGCGAGGGCGGTGAGTGACCCCCTCGACGTCCCCGCAGGTCCCAAGTATGGCAGGTCCCAAGTCCGAGGTCCAGGAGGAGGAGAGCGGGGACCGGGATGCGGGTTTCCCTTTCGGTTTAGAGGATCCGAGGTTGGGCGGGGCCGACGGGCGGGGCAAGTAGCGATGGGGACCGACGGGGACGCGGGTGACCCCCAGAGGGTGGGACAGGTGGGTCGAGCTGACCTCGCTGGAGGGGGTGGGGGTCACCCCACGCCAGGCTCTCACACCATCCAGCTCATGTACGGCTGTCACGTGGGGCCGGACGGGCGCCTCCTCCGCGGGGCACCTCAGTACGCCTACGACGGCGACGATTACATCGCCCTGAACGACGACCTGAGGACCTGGACGGCTGCGGACACCGCGGCGCAGATCACCCGGCGCAAGCTGCAGCAGGCTGGCGCTACCGAGAGATTCCGGGCCTACCTGGAGGGCGAGTGCGTGCAGTGGCTCCGCAGGCACCTGGAGAACGGGAAGGACCAACTGATGCGCACAGGTGCCCCCTGGCCGCGGGCAGCTCCTCCCTCTGCCCTCCCTCCTGTCCAGCTGTGCCCGGTCTCTGTCTTCTTTCCAAAGAATACATTCTCCCAGATTCCAGTGAGCGAGGTTTGCATCCCTCCCTCACCCCAGTTCTATGTATTCCTAGAAGGAGCACTTACGGGGTACCCTAGGAGAATTCTAAATTGTGGGTTCTTTCTTTCTTTCTTTTTTTCCTTCTAGTTGTCATTTGCTTTTAGTCAGGTTTTCTCCCTCACTGGGATGCTGCTGCTTCTCTCACCCCCTCCCCTTGTATGATCACGGGTATCCGTCTCCACAGGTGCCAAGAAGCACTGAGGCTCGGGATAATTAGACAAATTAAGTCAGTGTCCTCTTTAAAGGAGAGAAAATCCGGCGATTTAAACTATCTTGTGCCCGACTGAGCCATCCGGAGCCCCCTGCTCTCCCTCAGCCCCAACAAGTTCCAGTGTTGCCCCAGTGAATTAGGAGTTGAACTTCCTCAGAGCCAGGGTCTTCCGCAAATCAAGGACTGGAGTGACAGGGAAAATCCACACACCCCCGTGGAGCACCGCTGTGTCCCAGTGAGCGCTGTCCTGGGCTCCACAGCACACTTCCAGGGCTTGGGGAGTCATTTTCTCAGGCTGAGTGTCAGAGGTTCACCCCATTTCTCCTGCACACTTTGGTGATGGCTGTTCACTTGGACAGACAGTGAATACCGGTCAGTAAGACTGCCACAGTGGTTATGCCTCAATGGTGGCATCAGTAGTTGGTGGGCAACCTTTATGTCCCCTGTGCCTCTAATTTCGTATTTTGATATTAATTTAATCACATATACAAATTATTTTCCACCCCTTCTTGCATCCTTTTATTAACACCTAACTTATGCTACAGAACGTCACATAAGGAAGACCGTGTGGACCTGCTGGTTAGTGTGATTCTGGGTTCCCCCCAGAAAATGCGCACATCTGCAATGAGGGAGAGCAGCTCCACCTGCCGGTCACTAGTGTGATGACAGTCAGAAGTGTTCAGACGCATAGCTGGGTGTCATCATTGGTTTAGCATGTCTTTGCAGATGGCAGTTTGTCCTGTTATTGTGGGATTTCTTACATCTTCCACACAGATCCCCCAAAGGCACATGTCACCCATCATCCCGGATCTAAAGGCGATGTCACCCTGAGGTGCTGGGCCCTGGGCTTCTACCCTGCTATCATCACCCTGATCTGGCAGAAGGAGGAGGAAGAACAGACTCAGGACATGGAGCTGGTGGAGACCAGACCTTCTGGGGATGGAACCTTCCAGAAGGGGGCAGCCCTGGTGGTGCCTTCTGGGGAGGAGCAGAAATACACATGCCATGTGCACCATGAGGGGCTGCCCGAGCCCCTCACCCTGAGATGGGGTAAGGAGGGAGGGGTGCAGAGCTGGGGTCAGGGGTAGCTGGAGCCCTCTGCAGAGCCTGAGCAGGGTGACACTGAGGGCTGGGGTCATGAGCCTCCCCTCCCCTCCCTGCCCTTCCCTTCCCAGAGCCTCCTCCTCGGTCCATTGTCCCCATCATGGCACTCATTGCTGCTCTGGGTCTCCTTGGAGCTGTGACCATTATTGGAGCCTTGGTGGCTGTTGTGAGGAAGAGGAGGAGAAACACAGGTATGAAAGGGCAGGGGGTGA